GGCCGATTTAAGACCCGATTCATGGCTGACGACAATCTTAAAAACTCAGATTTTTTTATAATAATCTGATGGATTTTCCTGCGTGGTGTGTTAAGACTCAAATCTCAAATCTGGGATATCCCAATTTCTCTTTGTGTGTGGTGTCCCTCGGCGACAGATGAGCACATTTACAGTGGACTGCGGCCTTTAGCCAATCAGAGGACGAGGTGGCAAGGAAACACCGGGAAAAAAATAATAACAGTCAGCGGCATGGCGCACCAGAAAGTACAATACAATACAATACAATTTATTCTTGTATAGCCCTAGGTCACAACAGAAGTTATCTCAGAGGACTTAACAAAACCATTGAAATCACCAACACAGATCAGAGAATCAACAGTTAAAACACATGAAAAATATAAAGCACACACAGAAGAAAATGTCCATACATGTTGTAGAATGCTAAAGTGTCCTGATCATCACCAATCCTGTCTGTTGGACACTAACTGTCCAACAAGACCCTCCTGCATCGACAAGGAAAAACTCTTTAAAAACCCAGTGGGAAAAAGTGAGAAACCTTGGGGAGAATTAGGGAAACTCACAGGGAGGGAGACCCATTTGAGAAAGGGATCCGCTCCTCCGGACGGACAGGCTAATGAAAGTCCGGTGGACATCGATAATGGAGTGTAGTCCATGCTTGCGTTTTCTCCACTTCTTTAACCATTTGATAGCGCTTTTTCTCTTTTAAAAACAAACTGCAAACCATTGCCACTGCATCCTCTTCGTCTGCCATGATTGTTTACTCTGAAGTCACATTTGATCTCGAGAGATTTTGTGAGATTTCCCGTCCGACCTGGGAATGCTGGGAGTGAAATAGGTTTGTGTGTGATGTGTGTGGCTTGCGTGAATTTTGCCTTGTGGCTGCGCACCACAAACTGTATGACTAAAACGACCCTTGATTTTTTTTTTTTTATCTACGTGTGTGGGGTCTTTCACATTTGCTGTGATTGGTCACAATCTGGTCCCGAAACAATTTCTCTTCCGCGTTGCACAAAAACTCGATCTAAAATAAAATTACACTCCAGTACAAACCTGCACTACTTACTCTTCAAAAGGACGTATATCCCAATGTGGTGCATGGATATGGATTAAATTTCCCTAATGAATACAAAAATAAAGTGAGGTAGTCCAGCTTTAAAGGAACAATATGTAAACATCTGGCCAAAAGTGGTACTGCAGTCACAGTCAATATTTTATAGTCCTCTCCCACTCTCCCTGACTCAGGTTGCCAGATACACACCAAATCCAGCAGCAAGCACAGGGAATTATTTTATCAGTTGTTTGTCTGTCTCCATTCACATTGCCATGAGCCGTGCTAATGTTGAATGAATTTTTTTTTAAATTTTTTTATTTGGACATTTGTATTTGTATTTATTTTGATCTCCATTAGCTGTTCAACACAGCTATTCTTTTTGAGATAAAAAAACACAAAACAAAATAAAAGCAATGTAATTAGAGATTATCCAAAATAAATAAGTAATTGATAATTGACTCCAAAATAGGAGTGGGAAGAATAAATGTTGGAACGTATTTCTTCAGCGTATCAAAATCTGAATCACCTTTCAGAGGATATCACCTTTAATTTTATTTATTCCCTATTTTTTAGTCCCACATCAAAAAGAGACTAACATTATTTTAATTGGGTACATGTGGTCTTAAATGATTATTTTTACAATTAAGCTATAATCTGCAAAAAAACGTCTTGACTTTCGTCTTTTACCGTTTTTAGAGCAATCTGTCATAGAATGTGATAACATGCAAAAATACAAAAAATACATATAGACTCTGCCCGGCATCGAACCCAGGTTACTGCATTGAGAGCGCGTAGGTTAAACCTCCAGACCACTGGTTCATTGCTCTGAAAAACGGAGTCAAATCAGCAAATTTTGCATCACACGAAAACTTATCAGCTGTCTCAATTGGTCAAAGGTGTCCCGATATAAATCCTCGTTTTAGTCTTTGTTTTGTCATTAATGATTTGAGAGTCATAACAAGACCTTTTTTAGTTCTGCACCACATGTTATTTTACCACTGAGATTAGTGAGCCGCGCGGAGTTCTGACACTTCCTGATTGGCGAAACGGCGGAGGGCAGGACATCAAAATCAAAACAATAACAACTTTTACGGGTCGTAAAAGCCGAGATATTCAAATATCTCGGCTGAACTACTGTTATCAGTTAAAGGTGTATTCGAAAAGAGCATGATTTAATAACGCCTTTTGAAATATGGGGGCCATTTAATGATGACTTGACATGCAAATATTACATACTGCTACTTTAAGTAATGTCCGATAAACTTTGTGTTTGGCAAAATGTCCCTCTGCCTTGATTGAGTGAGTTTATACACTATAGGAGTGAGCTGACATAAATACTCAAAGGATGTTAACATTAACAGTAAGGCTGCAACTAACGATTATTTTAATAATAATCTAATTTAATAATCTAATTATTAATTTAATAATAATAATCTGCCGATTATTTCTTCGATTAATTGATGAATCGGATTAAAAAACATTTTTAATTTCCCTTTATTCAAAAATGTGGCCATGGACACAAAAAAACATACAAATACTATGCAGTATGTACCAAATATTGGCTTTTTATTTTTTAAAAGAGGTATTTTTATTGTTTAAAAAGGACCTGAGCAGTCAGAACAATGAATAAAAGATAAATAATGAAGAGTGGCACTGTCAGACACAGACGCACACTCACAGACATGTTTGTCTGAGTGAATAGACTCTCAAGCTGTGTTTGACCGGATCATGCGTTGCAACGAGTTTCAATGCAAAGTCAATTTCTTTTGTCCGTCCATGAGAGGAATTGCATGGATGTTGCGGCGTTAATCCTGCGCGGGAGACGGGATGCATGTAGCGAAAGCACAAGATGAACGTCCTCGCTCCACGCACGTGCGGCAACCAATCAGAGAGCAATGGAGGAAACAGTGCTTGCGAACACATGTCTTCATCCTGAGGTGACATTCTACTGTGACTGTAAACATTGCTAACGTGTTCGCCAATGCGGAAGTACTGGCGATAACATCAAAGCCCGCCCACCACTTCCCTCTTGTGTTTTTCCCCAAAGTACAGCAGCTGTACAGCCTGACTAAACTCATGCAGCTGATATTTAGTGCATGTGCATCCATGCCTCCATCCATGCATGTGCATGCAGGGCTGGACTGGGACAAAAAAACGGCCCGGGCATTTTTTCCTTCTTACCGGCCCAGGCATGTTTTTGTCAAGTTTTTTACAGTTTGTTTATACCAGGGATCGGCAACTCAAAAGGTTCAAAGAGCCATATTTGACAAAAAATACTAAAAACATCTGTCTGGAGCCGCAAAAAAATAACAGCCTTGTATTACAAGCTTATATGAAGGTTACACAATGTAGCTACATTAGCTACATTAGCCTATTATCTAAATGACCAAGTAAAGGCTACAAATACATAATAAGCATTCATGATTATCAAATGTGTGTTTTCACTGCAGCGTGTCCTGGAGAGAATGACGCACCACGTGATGACTCTGCTTTAACTTTGACTTCCATTTTTTTGCCTTCATGCAACTGTAGAAATGCAGTAAATAAATCTGCTTTTTGGCTCAAAGGTCACACACCTGCACTGTCCACTCATATCGATCACGTCACAGGCTGAAGTTTGCTGGAGCTGAATGTCCTTAATGGCCTTTTCTTTCACAGCCTTTGCGGAGGTTTTTGAAGTCTGAAAAAGGTGCTCCGGATTTTGTATGAAAGAATCCTTCACGTAATCCCTGTGAACGGTATTTAGTGCTTCATTGTTCCTCGTGTTGCAACAAAACTTCCTATTACATCGCAAACATGAAGCAGTCCTTCCTCATTGACTGAAAGCAAATGTTCAGTCTTGTTCCTAGTCCAGTCTTATCATCGACTCGTTCTCTTTTTATCTTTGGGATCCGTGCGCACACGCCGGTTTGTTTACAGCAGCGGCCGTCTGCCGCGGGGCCGCGCCACAGGATATGACTCACTACGTTGACAGAAATGTTGAAATTGAATATTACTTATACACATTTTTACAGCATTGAAATACGTTAGGAATGTTTTTCCTCCTACAGAAACCACATTCAAACTAGGAATAAAATATAGCCCTCCCACTCCATTTTCAGACATTTTTGAAAAGGCTCCAGGAGCCACTGGAGGAGCACTAAAGGTTGCCGACCCCTGGTTTATACAGTATGTGGAAGCAAATACTGTAGAGGATCAGGATGTCTGCAGTTTCAACAAAAAAATAAAAGTGCAATAGTCTACATTACAAGAGAGTAATAAACATGTCTCAGAGTGAGGGAGGTGGGCACAGACAACACTATTGTTTGTTACAGGGATGAGAATTGGTCAAAAAAGTCTGAAATGCATAATGTCAGCCATTTGCTGGCTCTAAATCTGTTTAATTTTTTCACAACATTTTACTTTTGGGCTCAAACATGAACTTTTAATGCAATGGAAAATTTAAGCACCTGAGCTTTAATTTAGTCGCACTTCGAGAGGAGAGGGGAGACGCGGACTGTTTCCTGCAGCGGTGTATTTATTGGGTGCACAAATTACGCAAAGACACGCATGGTCCTCGCGTTTATGGTCTTGGGTATATGGTCACGTTGCGGCTACGCGCTCACCGTGTTGTGTTGTGAGCGGTTCCCGCGTCCAGCTCAGAGCCGCTGGATGCCGGAACACTGCGGCCGCTGAGGTGGTAGAATCCCGTTCGAGTACATACAGCAGGTGCCCCGCGGACACGCGCGCTCCCCTCGAACAGTTCTCAACGGATTTACACTTTTCACAAACATCTTTTTTGTATGAGGCAAACAGACCGGCCCAAATATGGGCATCGGCCCTTCTGGCATTGCCCGGTACGCCCGATGGCCAGTCCAGCCCTGTGTGCATGCATCGTCTGAACACAGTTGTACAAGAATGCTCAGAATGCTGTCTGAGTGTGACTCACTCTAATGTGCTGGTGTCCAAACTGCCAGTGATGTTAATGCCGTAGCGGCGCTGCATGGCAACGATAGCAGAGTGCATGACTCTGGCCGAGCGCAGCACCGACATCCTGGGGTCAGCAGGGGGCAGGTACCCGTACCTCTGCAGCCACGCCTGTGCACAAAAGATTCAGATTTAGAATAATTGTATTTGCCATTTGCAGTAAAACCCCATTGAAATACATTTGCAAACGTCCCAAGTGTGCACATGACAAGTAAATAAAACAAGGTTAAAAGTACAGAAACATTTTTATTTTTTTTAAGTGCAGGAAACAATTTACATTATGAAATCAATAAACTAAAACAGTTTCAATACAAAGGCAAGATCATTAAAGTGGTTTGTTTAAACTGATAACAGCTTGCTGAATTAAGCTGTTAGCAAAACGAGATGTCCTGCATCTCATCGAACAATCTCTTCTGCCAGAGGGAAGAAGCTGGAACATGGCTTTTCCAGGGTCATTAATTATCTTAAGAGCTTGGTTTGAGATTCATACAGAACTTCCAGAACATGCAGCTCACAGTCCTCTTTGCAAAGCGGAACACCTTGTTTAGAGTAGGGCTACACAATATATTTAAAAAATATATATTATCTTTTATGCGCACTGTGACGAATCTGCGACGTAGTGCTGTCACATGCCAGAGTGGAGCGCGTGGAGAAACAAAACAGGCAGATGATGAAGAGACAAATGCAGACAAATGCAGAGAGGGACTTCTCAAAAGACACTTTACCTCCGGAATTTGGGACTACTTTGGTTTTACAAGACAAGTCTCTGAGCCTCTGCAGAGGAGACAGACAAAAAACACTGTTACAGCATGAAACGTTCTGAACCACTGAACAGCCATCAGAGCCACATGTTTCCCTGGTCTGAACAAAGAACTGGACTTTGCTTATCAAAATGATTTAAAATCTTGTGCTATTCTACAAACAGAATGTCAATTTAATATGAGATTCAGTGTATATGTGTGCTACACTTGTTTTTTGTTCCCTCTGAAGCCTAGTTTATACTCGCGCGGAGCTTACGGAGGTGACGTGACGTCACTTGCGCAACGCGTTGGTCACCGCAAGGCCCTTACGTCGCCTGCCGCGCAGCATCGAAATTTTCTAACTACGTAAGGGTCGCCGCAAGGAATCTCCGCTGTGATTGGTCCGTGTGTGTGTATTGGAAGGAAGCACGGAGCGGCTGCAGCAGGGACAATGGACGAGGCACTATGGAGCAGAGAGCTTTGTGCTTCGCAGGAAAAGCAGTTTGGGCTCAGAGCCTGATATACAGGAGACTGTGGACTATCTAACATATATATAACTTATAAACTGTGCAGTTGTTTGTTTTGCACTGTTCCTGTCTTTGTTTGAATCGTAGCTGCGTTTGTTGCTTTCCTCCTGCACTCGTAAATCGTTCATGTTTGTCTCAGATATTTACCACTATTATTGTTTTGCTGTTTGTGCTGAAAACTATTTAATAATAACTATGTTTCCAACAAGAACTGTGTCTTTATTCACAGCATCACAGTTGAAATGACTTATAAAATAATGAATCCATAAAACTATCACATAAACCTACAGTAGAAACACGTCTAATGAGCTCAAACAGCTTTGTTTGCTATTGTTGTTCTGAAGAGGACAAAGTAGCAGCGTAAATGGAACCGCTCCTGTGTGATCGCCCTCATGTGGTTTGTTGTGGGATTACAACATTCTCCTCAAAACTCCGTAAGGGGAACGCGCCAGTATAACATCAATTGCGCTTACGTAGGTCCACTGCAACCGCTAACGTAAGCCACGCCGCGCAAGTATACACTAGGCTTAAGGGCTCACATGGGGCACCTCATCATTGATTGTCTTCTATACTATTGTAAGTGGTCCAAAATCAGCTTGGTTTACTGTCAGTGTATGTCTTTCACCAGGATTGTATATCATTGTACTATTGTACTAGCTAGTATCTGGCAAATTAAAACTAGAATTCTCTGCATCCGATTGCCTCTGACTTATTCTCTAAGTCACAGAAACAACTTATTTGCAAGTCATGCTGAAAAATAGTCGCTAGTCAAAGGGAAACACAACAATCTCCAGACCCACCTCCAGCAAAACCACATGGTACTTTATGCTGTGTATTTACAATCTAAAACTCCACAGCCTACTCTGGTCAAACGAAAGGCAAATGCGCAAATGAGCATTAATGACAGTTTCGCTTCTGTTGCTCCTTATGAGAAAACTTTGAAGCGACACAAAGCTTAAACAGCAGCCATTACGGGATATATAACAAAGTGCACACTTTCCGTTAATACTGTGTGTAAGGAATTTGCAACTTTAGGCAAGATTTGAGGTTAATATGTATGCCATACTGTCATTAATGTTGTGCTTAATTTGTTTCTCTTGCGGTTCAATGCAGATTGCATTTTTATGTGAAAGACAGATAATATAGTTATCGAAATACTAAACACCCATATCAAATATCGCTCTGATTTCCAATGAAGTGCAGCCCTAGTTTAACCCATAAAGGCCTGACACACCTGGTAAAACAGACCTGTAAAATCTATGGCCGACTTCAGAACCACCCTCCAAAATCCTGAAATTCAACGTCTACTAAATGATTGATATCTCGGCCTCTGTAGCAGATAAAATAATTTCAAAAGAATTTGAGAGCTGACACTTATGGCTTCCAATAAGAATGCAGTGTATTATTATAAACCTTCAGTAGAATAACACCAAGATATACAACTTCCACACAGGTAAGGTAATAAAGCAACCAAATATAATGTGAGACTAACACATGTTTCTCAATACAATAAGTCAAAAAGTGTTTGGCAATAAAGTGGCACTAACTGTACGGGAAAAATATTTTTAAAAATCCACTCGCAGCCCAAAAAAGTGAAATAATGACTCACAGGGCTCTTTCTTAACCCTTCAAGGTCTAAGCTCATTTTGGGGAACTTTCCTCGCCTGGTTTTCTTTGTGTATAATTGCTCATAAAACAGTCATCTTGTGATGCAGAGTCAAGCAGTAAACTTTGTTTTTTTCAGTACAACCTGTGGATTTATAATATTCATAGTGTACAGCTGTCATATGAATTATATAAAAAATATGGAATCATGAAGACAAAGAAAAAAATGAAACGGAAATTCATTTTCACCAAAATGTTTTGAAAAACACAATGAAATGCTATTGCTAACTTTTTACACTGTATAGAAATGTTATTTAGGGTCTTGGGGTTGATGGGGGAAAAAATTGAACCTGTGACTATTATAATTTTTACAAAATTCCACTACAAGTGAAAAAAACGCTGTACTCCTGATGCCCTTCCTGAAGCAGTTTGTCTATGTCTATATATTGCTTCAGTATCACAGCTGTAAGATATATAAAACAAAAAAAACAAAGAAAACAAAGAAAGGAAAACAACATCTTATATTCATATACATCATATCATTATAATGTATTTATCAATGTCAATAATAAATATATAATATAATTACATCAATAATGCGCTGTTCAGCCAGGTGCTGGCTCTTGTGAGCGCTGCATCTGCGTCTCCTCCTATCTTTGTGTAATGCACTTTCAAGCCCAGACTCTGAACACACACATCACTCGTAGATCACGTAGATCAGTGATACAAAGCTACATTAGCTGTGTCGGGGACGCATTTTCGTAACATTCAGCTAAAATAATGCGTCTTTTACGCATCAGTAATTGCAATCGCAGCTGTAATTTCAACTATGGGACAATAAATACACACAGGAGAGTGAATCATCCTACTCTCTGACAATCTTTGGCAGTCCCTGTGTCAGCGTGTAAGCAAAATAACTTTACTGTTTTGGCTGTTTTACCTCACGGGAGACCGCTCGAAGATCCGATAGGACACCAACTTTCAAACACACGTAGAAAATTCCCCAAAAGTCACACAGACAAAACAAAACTAGCGCTGTAATGCCTGAAATGTGTACTTCACGGAGAAAAAAAAGTAAGTCGCTACGTTTTGCCGTTCATGAGAAAATTGAACATTTATAAAACATGTGCGCAGGAGTCGGATCCGACGCTCTAGACCCCAGAGGGTTAAGTAAGCAAAATAAAAATAAAAACACGACTGTTGTGGTTTGTTTTGTTTGATTTGTACACAAAATGTTACTTTTGTGCACAAATAACATGCAAATAACATGCATGCATAGATTACATTTACGAACGCACCCACTGAATATAGCGTTCTATCACGCTGTAGTGTTTTTTGTTCTGTATAGTATTGTCATTGACGACACATAGCGTTACCTTCAAGTGTGTTGTAGCTTGTTGCGGCATCTGGGTATCATACAGCTGCGGCCGTTCACTCCGTACACACAGAACTCATGGCAACACATCACTACCATGTATAACTCCGCCCTCTAGCCAGGCCTGTGTTCATATCAGTGCGCGGCACTATATACTACGGTAAAACATTGTTATGGGAGGTAAAAAGATCAAATCGGGCTTGATGCGGGTTTCGGGCCTGAGAATTCAGAAACCACATCGGGCCAGGGCCGGGCTCTGGCCCAGATAATAGGCCCATGATGGGCTCTAGCATCCTCAACGCTCCTGTTCTGTCTGTAGGCAAACTGGAGCGAATCAATACTCACAGGGATCTGGCTCTTAATAAAGTCCAACACGCGCTCAAGTCTTCATGAGAACAAACATGAGGGCCACAGGACAATAGTCATTAAAGACCTTATGACAGGTTTTTTTTTTAAAAATAGTGGATATCAAAATTGCATGACAATGTCAATTTGAAAGAGATTCTGGCAAAAAAAATCCTATATTTTATAAAAAGAACGTGTTTTTCATGAATTTAAGTTGTCTATGCTCTAACCTGTGTGTGACGTCATAGCGGGTTACGCCCATGCATTGAAAACCATGGATCTATGCCACAGGACTGCCTTTTCTCTCTTCTCTCCACTGAGGCCCAACACAATACTGCCCTCTACAGGTGACAATTGCTCACTAGACATAAATTGCCGTTTTGAGTGTGAAAAAATGTCCGAGGTGGGAATTGAACCCAAGTATCTGGATTGGCAGTCCATTGACACAACCACTTGGCTATCTCTGTGACAACG